CTGTGGTGGCCGGGAGCGGCCGCTGCACTCCAGTCTGGGTGACAGAGTGAGACTCCAACTAGGTGAGAGTGGTAGCTTGGACCTGTAGTCTCAGCTACCTGGGAGGCTGAGGCAGGAGGATAACCTGAGTCCAGCAGTTCAATACCACCTCTGGGTAACATCATGAGACCCCATCTCTACAAAAATTAAAAATTAGCCAAGTGGGGTGGCACATGCCTGTAATCCCAGCTACTCGGGAGGCTGAGGCAGGAGGATCACTTGAGCCCAGGAACTGGAGGCTGCAGTAAGCTGTGATTGCATCCCTGCACTCCAGTCTGGGCCGCAGAGCCAGACCCTATCTCCAAAAAAATTTTTTTTTAAAGATTAGAAGATTCCAGGGGCTTTTGCCTGTGACACCCACGGGCAGCGTGACAGTGGCCACCCCCATCAGACGCCCACTCACGATGTTGGCCATCTTGGTGCAGGTCTTGAGTATCTGGATGGCAAAGGTGGAGGTGACATTCTCCACGGAGACTCCATTCACCATGACAATGTGGTCCCCCGTCCTGAGAAAGGAGGGCAGGTCTGAAGGAGGAGACCTCTCGGGGGCTCCTGGCTCCCACGAGGCCAGGTTCTAGTCCCCAGGCTCACAGAAGCATTTACCCGTTTGGTCTCAGTTTCCCCATCTGTAAAATGAAGCCAAGCGTAGAACCCTCTCTAACTAGAACAGAGGCTGCACGGACACCCGGCATCTTCCAAATCCTCACTTCCCACCTAAGTCCCCTCTTCCTGCCTTCCCGGCCCCTCCTTCCTGTCTGTCACGTTTTCTTTCTCTGAACCTGGTCTCTGATTCTGGGCAGAGCTGATCACCCATCAGCCACTCAGGGCCCAGAACCATTTGATTTGATCAACATCCTTCTGGCCGGGCATGGTGGCTCACGCCTGTCATTCCAGCACTTTGGGAGGGTGAGGCGGGAGGATCGCTTGAAGCCAGGAGGTGGTGACCAGCCTGGGCAACATAGCAAGACCCCTTCTCTACTAAAAAAAAAAAAAATACAGAAAAAATTAGCCAGAGGTGGCGGTGCCTGTCGTCCCAGTTACTCAGAAGAGAGGCTGAGGTGGGAGGATGGCTTGAGCCCAGGAAGTCGAGGCTGCAGTGAGCTATGATCCTGCCACTGGGCCACAGAGCCAGACCCTGTCTCACTCCTCCAGGGCGCAGAATCCTATGCCTCCTTCCCGCCTGCCAAAAAGGAGTTTCCGGAACCTTCTGTTCCAGATGGGCCCTGGGGCCACTATGACCCCGGGATCTGCGGGAAAGAGCCAGGAAGTGCCTGGGGGACGGCCGCGTCATCCTGTGGCCGGCTCTGAGCCCGGCATTGACAGAGCAGGTGCCAGGCACGTCCGGCCACCCAGTGGAGGCCCTGGCGGGTCCCTCCCCGGGTCCCTCCCATGCGCCCGCCCCCTGCAGACACTCACTGCAGCCGGCCTTCCGCCGGGCCTCCGGGCACCACGTCAGACACCACCACGGAGCCGCTGGGGCGGTCTCGGCCTCCCGAGATGGCGATGCCGAAGCCCCGGCGGGGATCCTGGGGGGGGGGAGACAGAAGGGCTTGTCCACCCCCGACACGGAGGGTCCCCCTCTGTGGGGGGCGGGGCCGCAGCCCCTGGGCGCCCCGGTGGGGAGGCCTCACCTTGGAGAGCGTGGCCGTGTGCTGCTCCCAGATGGTCAGCTCCTCCATGTCGGCCACCTGTCGAGGGGACAGGGAGGGTGGACGTGAGGCCCCGAGGGTGTGTCACAGTGCTCGGGAGTCCCCAGGCCTGGCGGGACGTCCCGCTCTGATGCGCCCATGGTGTGGAAGTTGCTGCCTCTCTCAGGACCTGTTTTGCTTCTGCAAGATGGGTCTAAGTCGGTGGTTCTCAAACAGGGTGATCTGGCCCCGGGGTGTCAGGACTGGGGGCGCCCCTGGCACTGGAGGCCCAGCACCCTGCAATGCCCGGGATGCCGTCCCCCCCCCCGCAGAGAACGATTCAGCCTTGGTGTCCCCCATGCCCAGGGGGAGAGGCTCACACCTGTCATCCCAGCACTTAGGGAGGCCGAGGCAGGAGGATCGCTGGAGCCCAGGAGTTCAAGACCCGCCTGGGCAACACAGTGAGATCCCATCGCCACAAGAAATTAAAAAGTTAGCCAGGTGTGGTGGCACCTGTAGTTCCAACTACCCGGGAGGCTGAGGCAGGAGGATCGAATGAGCCCAGGAGGCTGAGGCTGTGGTGAGCCGTGCCTGGGCCATAGAGTGAGACCCCGATTCAAACATAAGATAGCCGGGCTCGGTGGCTCAGCCTGTAATCTTGCACTTTGGGAAGCTGAGGTGAGTGGATGGCCTGAGCCCGTGGGTCCGAGACCCGCCTGGGCAACTTGGCGAGGCCTCATCTCTACAATAAATCAAAAATTAGCTGGGCGTGGTAGCGCGTGCCCGCAGTTCCGGCTGCTTGGAAGGTAAAGGCGAAGGATGGCCGGAGCCCAGCAGGTCGAGGCTGCGGTGGCCATGAGCATGCCACTGCCTCCAGCCCGGGCGACAGGGTGAGACTCCAACTCAAAAAAACAAAATAAAATAAATCTGATGTTATATTCTATGTCACCAAATCCCCCCCCAATTTGATTTCCCGGCTTTATTTTAAGAAACAGCCCCCAGGGAACCAGGGAGGCAGGGGTTGCAGGTGGCCCGGACTTGTCCCAGCCAGCCCTGGTTGGGCTCCATGGATTTCGTCTCCATGGATATGGGTCTTGGTCTAAAACCCTCCAGGGCTCCCCGAGGCCCCAGGGATCAAACCCGGCTACAGACCCCTTGTCATAGTTCACCGCCACACCCTCGCCCCACTGTCCCCTGTGTCTGGGACACCCATCAGGGATATCTGCACAGCTGGCCCCTGCCAGGGAGGTCTTGGTCCAAAGGCCGCCTCCCCAGGAAGCCCTCCGTGACCACCCACCTGACCAAGCTTCCTGTCATCCCTGCCTTTCTGCTTTTATTTTATCTTATTTTTTTGAGTCGGGGTCTCACTCTGTCGCCCAGGCCGGAGTGCAACGGCACGCTCACAACTCACTGCAGCCTCAACCTCCTGGGCTCAGGCGATGCCTCCCACCTCAGCCTCTCCAGTAGCTGGGACTACAGGTGTGCACCACCACGCCTAATTGTTAATTTTTTTGTAGAGATGGGGTCTTGCTATGTTGCCCAGGCTGTTCTCCAACTCCTGGTCTCAAACGATCCTCCCACCGCAGCCACCCAAAGTGCTAGGGTTAAAGACATGAGCCACTGCGCCCAGCTACACGTATTTGTTTATTTTATTTTATTTTTTATTTTTTTTGAGTTGGAGTCTCACTCTGTCGCCCAGACCGGAGTGCAGTGGCCGCTCCCGGCCACCGCAGCCTCGACCTGCCGGGCTCCGGCGAGCCTTCCGCCTCAGCCTTCCGAGTAGCCGGAATTACCCGCATGCGCTACCACGTCCGGCTAATTTTTTGATTTATTGTAGAGATGAAGTCTCCACCGAGCCCGGCTGTATTTGTTTATTTTAAAACAAGGCAGGGTCTCACGCTGTGGACCAGGCTGGAGATAATGGCATGATCACAGCTCGCTACAGCCTTGAACTCCTGGCCTCAAGCGATTCTCCTGCCTCAGCCTCCCAGAGTGCTGGGATTACAGGTGTGCGCAACCGCGCCCAGCCATAACTGATTATTTTTATTCAGGGCATCTAAGACATCTTTAGCCTTTCTAACGATCAGTTGGTGAGTTTCTGGTCTTTTCTCTTAGGCTGTGGGAGGGGGGACATGTCTACATTTTGGGTACTTGAGGCTGAGGTGATCTTTCTGGCCTCTGCAGTGCAGAGCCCCGTAATCCCTGGCAAACTCCTATCCACCCCTCACAGCCCCAGTGCCACTGTCTGTTCCCCCAGGAAATGAGTTCTCAACCCCCCAAACCCTGCTGTGGTTATGGGGGGCGGGGAGGGGTACCTGGGATGTCAGTCTCCCCTATACCCCCGCAATCTGGGGGCTCCTGATAGGTCGGGCTGGGGGCGGGACCCCAGGACTGGTCCCCCAGGGCCAGGCACCGTGGGGAAAAGCGAGGAATGAGTGAATTGTAGCACAAGAGGTACTCTGGGGCCGGGCGGGCGGCT